GGGACGGTAGACACGTTTGATTAGTTTATTATATCATATGCTTTGTAATGTTTAACACGATTTGCTAGTTAAAATATAATTTGGATAACATGACTATGATAACATGACAATGATAACATGACTATGATAACATGACTATGATAACATGACTATGATAGCATGACTATGATAACATGACTATGATAGCATGACTATGATAACATGACTATGATAAGATGACTATGATAGCATGACAATGATAGCATGACAATGATAACATGACTATGATAACATAACTATGATCACATTGACTATGATAACATGACTATGATAACATCACTATGATATCATGACTATGATATCATTACTATGATAACATGACTATGATAACATGACTATTATAACATTACAATGATAACATGACTATGATAGCATTACTATTACAACATTACTATGATAACATTACTATTATAACATTACTATGATAAAATTACTATGATAACATTACAATGATAACATTACTATGATAAAATTACTATGATAACATTACAATGATAACATTACTATGATAACATTTCTACGTTTTGTAAAATTTTAACGAATTAAATTATATTGTAGTACAAATAGTATAGTTGATATGACAGAAAATGTGTGTGTAGCTTATGTATAATGCAGCCCATTTGACACACAAGCCCACTTGACACACAAGCCCATTTGACACACAAGGCCATTTGACACACAAGCCCATTTGACACACAAGGACACACGCTTGAATGGCTTGCACTATGGCCAAAAAAAAAACATGAAAAAAATTACTCACACGAACCTAGAGGTTTGCTTGAACGCAAGGTGTGGTCTATTTAACAAGGGGAAAAAAAAACAATTAATTTTAGATTGGAACAATGCATTGGGACCAACAAAGATTTCATTTATGTTCGTTTTCAGTATAATTAACCCTAACTGATACCATGGATACGTATCAGAATCAGTGGCGTTGCAAAGTGAAGTCCTCCTCGGGCGGCACTTTCTCTCTATGTATATTGGGAACTGCTATTCGAGGGAGGGGTCGGCAAAGATATTTGCCAGGCCCGGGTGGCACTGACCCTAGCTGCGCCACTGAGCAGAAATCTTGGTGTGCATTGTGCATATTATGTCTGACGACGCACACTTTAAATACATTTTAATTGGTATTTTTGTTTAAAGCAAAGAAGCGAATCTGTCTACTCAGAACTGTCCGCGAGATAGCAGGATCATCAGCCAGTGGACCCGGGGTCATGAGAGGTTCTTATTGATAGTCGGAGAATCAAAATAAAATTTAATCCACCTTTCAATAAATACTTTTTTTTTTTTTTAAATTGTAGGCTACAGTAATTTTTCTTCTTCTTTGCTATCTAGAATAAGAAACAATACAAACATTGTTACTTTTGTTAAAAAATATATTTTGTACACATCAAATTTAGATACAGTTATCAAGAAAAAGAAAATAACGTGGATGAATCCAATATGTCCTTCGCGTTAGTTCAATCTCCTACGATTACTTAACGGTTGTTGGTGACGTGTGGTTACGTTTCGCGATCGTCACGGCTTGACACAACTTTCATCTCTTAGTGCTGGAGACGATCGGTTAAACATGTGGCCAATTCAACGCGTCACCAAGAGCGCCGCGCGAAGCACGAGACGAAATGTAGCCTTTTCAGTAAACCGCCCTTTGATCAATATTCGCCTTCATTGTAGTCTTCAAATAAACGTCTTTCTAATAAACAAAGCGGTTATCAACCGGTGGTTCGTGACACCTTTGGGTGTCGGGGTCGAACGACCCTTACACAGGGGTCGCCTATGATCATCGGAAAACACATATTTTTGATGAAGCAACGAAAATAATTTTATGGTTTGGGGGTCGCCACAACATGAGGAGCTGCATTAAAGGGTCGCGGCATTAGGAAGGCTGAGAACCACTGCTGTAAACGTTCAATACATTCCATAGACCCGCTCAATACCGGCGTTTAGCCGTTCTTATATTTGTAGGCGCGACCAAACATCATAATTTCTATTGAGCGGAACAAAACTTTGCACTAATCCACGGGCCACCGTAATCCCAGGCAAGCCGACAAAATAGACACTAACTCCAGGCCGAGTTAAACACACGAGACCCGAGAGATAATGGAGGTGCGCTCTGGAATACAAAGATTCCGCTGTTCAATGGCCGGGTCTAAATGTGAGGCTTTTAATGACATCGGTCGAACTGAATGAAAAACATTTTGACGCTGTGTGTACAAAATGTTGATAAATTTATGGGCTGGCGTTCTAATGGAATCACGGAGCAAGGTTGCCAAAACTTGATGTCCATGCTTCAATGAGCAATCAAATCTGAAGTTTTGTTAGGTAATTTTGTGACTGCCAGCGGTGCAACATTAAAAATTACAGATACGAATATCGACTGTATTGGTAATTCGGTTAAACAAGCCGTTTAAAAAAAAAAGTGGTTTGGAAAGAGTTAAAGAAAACAAAGAAGTCAGAAATCTGTCAAGTTCCATTTTTTTTTTTTTGCTTTGCGGATTCACTCAAGTGACAATTAAATTATTAGCTTTAGATTTTATACAACAGATTTGGAAGCTAATTTGATTATATAGAAAACGGCTTAAAAAACAACAAAACAAATTTTAAAATAATAAAAGTAAATAAACTGGCAGATATAAAAAAAAAACAAGATATGATTTATCTGTCCTCACAGGTTACACTGAAAACAAATTAAATTATAATTACACTGCAACTTAAATGTTAAAACGTGTAATTTCAAGGCTAGGTCTTGACTATCGACTGCTTTATTTCTAACTTTAAACCTATTTGAATATTCTCCTTTTTTTAAAAAAAAAGATTATCAATTGACTAATATAAGTATTAGTAATTTTCAAATCATAAGGTTATAGCAAAGTGACTATAGATACTATCAACTGGTATCTGGAAAATTTCCTCCAAATTTCTACACAACAGGCGATGACAGATACCCGACGGAGAGCTCGATATTTAAACTTTCCAATAAAACGAACATCTTGATTGACTCACATGATCAGACAGCTCCGGTAATCAGAGCTCTCCATTAATCAGGCCTCTCCAATAATCACAGCTCTCCATTAATCAGGCTTCTCCAATAATCACAGCTCTCCATTAATCAGGCTTCTCCAATATTCATAGCTCTCCATTAATCAGGCCTCTCCAACAATCACAGCTTTCCATTAATCAGGCTTCTCCAATAATCACAGCTATCCATTAATCAGGCCTCTCCAATAATCACAGCTATCCATTAATCAGGCCTCTCCAATAATCACAGCTATCCATTAATCAGGCCTCTCCAATAATCACAGCTCTCCATTAATCAGGCCTCTCCAATAATCACAGCTCTCCATTAATCAGGCCTCTCCAATAATCACAGCTCTCCACTAATCAGGCATCTCCAATAATTAGGCCTCTCCATTAATCAGGTTTCTTAATAAATCAGGCTTTTCCATTAATTAGGTTTCTCCATTAATCACGTCTCTCCATTAATCAGGCCTCTGCTTTAACCAGGCCCCTCGATTAATTAGGCTCACCCCTTAATCGGGACTCTACATTAATCAGGTATCTCCATAACCAGATCTCTCCATTAATCAGGTATGTTCATAACCAGGTCTCTCCATTAATCAGGTATCTCCACAACCAGGTCTCTCCATTAATCATACTGCTCCATTAATCAGAGCTCTCAATTAACGAGATCTCTCTATTAATCAGGTGTTTCCATTAATCAGGCCCTTCCATTAATCAGGCCCATCAAATCAATCAGGCCCATCAAATCAATCAGGCCCATCCATAAATCAGGCCCATCCATAAATCAGGCCCTTCCATTAATCAGGCCCCTCCATTAATCAGGCCCCTCCATTAGGCGCAACTTGCAATGTTATCTGCAGTGAACGGTCCAAATGACGAGGTGTTATACACGCATTTAATGACCCGTAACGCATTCAGAGAAACTTTGGGTTCGGAAAGTCACATTCAATTTCAACAGCTGTTTCTTGGATAGTTTTTCCGGGCGGTTAAATTCAGGTGACGTCATGGGGTGGGAGAGTTTTATTGACTTGTTGGCTTGCTAGGTAAATTTCAAAGAGTAGGTTACACGAAGTGTCTGTGAATCACCCACGCACTGGTTTCTATATACGTCTGTCTATTGGTCATTCTATTAACCTTCTTCAGGTTGTATTTAAACATTCTCTTAGTCTTGTGGGGCAAGTCTACTGGTATCAGAAAGTAGATCTCAAAGTGCTCTTTTATTTTCTCAAGAGTTGGATTTCTAGCCTACTTGTGGAAAAAAGGATTTTTCTTGCGTATCAAAACTTGATGCATCGGATGTGTATTCAATGTAGACTAATAAAACATAAGCTACGATTTTCAAAAGAGGATACGACTATACCGGTCTGTATTTAGAAGTATTGTGAATGTTTTCCAACGCGAGCATCACAATGGAAGTAAGTAAAAATAGATTGCTGTTAACCTTTTAAATAATTTAACACAACTTAGAAAAAAAAAATGCTGCAAAAATAAAATAGAGATATTTCAGAATATAAAATACCCGCTGCCTTAAAAATAAAGTTGGCGTAGCTGTGGGTATTTAGATCTGGCGTAGCTGTGGGTATTTAGATATGGCGTACAAGGTTACCATCAACAATATTTGTCCCATTATTAATGGCTTTATTGACAACAATCCTAATTTTTAAGCGTCATGATAAACTGTGCTTCCATAGCTCTGTGCATAGTTGCATACTTTATTTAATGTGCCAACGGTTGGTGTAAACGTGTTTGTGTGTATGCCAGAGTGTCGCTCTGTGTGTGTATTACTTGCATGTCTTTGAGTTCGTTTCGTTCTGTGTGTGTGCGTGTTTAACTTGCATGTCTGTGAGTTCATGTTTACGATAAAATAACATGCATGCCGGACTATTTTTTTTTTCTTCCAGAACCTTATACCAGAAAATCTCGCCACAGTCAGCGGTCATGGCCGACACGATGGCCAGCATTCTGAGGCGACGGACCCAGCCCAGACTTCTGCGCATTGACCACAGTGACATCTATTTCGAGAATGATAAACTTGATGAAAATTTGACTTTTGACTTAAGTAAGTCAAATAGATCTAAATTCCAACAATTTACAGTTACAGCCGCTCGACTTCCCCTTACAATGTTTCCCGTTTATGAAAGAATAATGGGAAGGATGCTGATGTCACGGAAGGATGTTGAGATGTCACAAAAAAAAATAAAAATTGTAATACGCGTAAATGTTCGCCTGTTTTAGATATTGGAGAGGGTAGGAGTAAGATGTAGTTGACGTGAGAGGATAGGGGTAAGATGTAGTTGACGTGAGAGGGTAGGGGGTAAGGTGTAGTTGACGTGAGAGGGTAGGGGGTAAGATGTAGTTGACGTGAGAGGGTAGGGGGTAAGATGTAGTTGACGTGAGAGTGTAGGGGGTAAGATGTAGTTGACGTGAGAGGGTAGGGGGTAAGATGCAGTGGACGTGAGAGGGTAGGGGTAAAATGTAGTTGACGGGAGAGGGTAGGGGTGGTAAGATGTAGTTGACGTGAGAGGGTAGGGGGTAAGATGTAGTTGACGTGAGAGTGTAGGGGGTAAGATGTAGTTGACGTGAGAGGGTAGGGGGTAAGATGCAGTTGACGTGAGAGGGTAGGGGTAAAATGTAGTTGACGTGAGAGGGTAGGGGTAATGTTTAGTTGATGCGCAAACTGGATTTTTTTAAGCTTTAAAAAAGTACAATCACTGGCCCTTAATGTATAACCAGGTCATGGGGTGATTTAGAAAAAAAATATGTGTAAGAAGCGTGGGGAGAGGGTGTGTGTGGGTTGGTTGTGTATATAGAGCGTGGGAAGACGTTGTGCGGGTTGGTTGTGTATATAGAACGTGGGAAGATGTTGTGCGGGTTGGTTGTGTATATGGAGCGTGGGGAGAGGGTGTGTGTGGGTTGGTTGTGTATATAGAACGTGGGGAGAGGGTGTGTGTGGGTTGGTTGTGTATATAGAACGTGGGGAGAGGGTGTGTGTGGGTTGGTTGTGTATATAGAACGTGGGAAGACGTTGTGCGGGTTGGTTGTGTATATGGAGCGTGGGGAGACGTTGTGCGGGTTGGTTGTGTATATGGAGCGTGGGGAGACGTTGTGCGGGTTGGTTGTGTATATGGAGCGTGGGGAGACGTTGTGCGGGTTGGTTGTGTATATGGAGCGTGGGGAGTGGTTGTGCGGGTTGGTTGTGTATATGGAGCGTGGGGAGACGGTGTGCGGGTTGGTTGTGTATATGGAGCGTGGGGAGACGTTGTGCGGGTTGGTTGTGTATATGGAGCGTGGGGAGACGTTGTGCGGGTTGGTTGTGTATATGGAGCGTGGTGAGACGTTGTGTGTGGGTTGGTTGGTGATGGCGTTTAATCTTAAACTTAGCACTTCAAAAAAAAAATATTTTTTAAATTTTAAAATACTTGTATGCATACAGTTTTAAAACCTGTAAAGTTGCCACATCCTCACAGATCTGGCCAAGGCTTCTAACGGGGCCAGCATTTAAACAAAATAAACATATTTAAATTCTTTTCAAGGGATCTCGATTTAGTCAAATTATTTACCCCCACCCCCCAATTTTGTTTTTTCCTTGTTGTCTCCTTTGGCAAATTCGATAGTAACTCAACTGGCAAAAAAAGCTAATTCTAAGGGGGCTAAGTTTGTTAGCTAAGATAATCTTGTGCCGTGAGTGTGTTGTGTGAGTGTGGTGTTAGTGGGGCCTGAGTGTAGTGTGTGTGTAGTGTGAGAGTGGTGCCAGTGTGGTGAGAGTGGGCTGTCAGCGTGGTGTGAGTGCAGTGTCAGTGTGGTGTGAGTGTGGTGTGGGTGTGGTGTCAGTGTGGTGCCAGTGTGGTAGAGGGATATTCCCCAATAATGCTAATGCTGTCGTCAAAATGTATTCAATGGAATTGTCTGTCAAGTGAAGAAGAAAATGTTCCGATTCGGACGTATTGTTTGTTTTGTCTCGTTCGAACTTGCATATTAAAGGTGTATTTCCTGAATACCTGCTTCACCAACAGGTTCCATTCAAAGACACCAGTATCGGCAGTTCTTGGCGCGGCAGGCGGAGATCTCGTTGTTGAAAAAAGAGTGCACGCTCCATAAACAGAAACTCGTGCGTTCGGCCAGTCTGAACAAAATCCGGGACAGGCGATCCGTGTCATTTCCGGTAACACCGCAGCACAGCAACAACCTCTTCAGACCAAGCGTCCATTCCAGTGAAGCCAGAAAGGAATCAGAAACCAGACCGACTCAGTCGGCGAATAACCCCAAAACGGTGCAGGGAATACAAAGCGCAATGGCGCTGTCGGTCAGTCTGCCTAAACCCGGATCACCGGAGACAAGCGTCACTGATGACGACATCAACGACATTTCAGAGACCAATTCATTTCGGAGCGATTTTCTTGGAAATGCGTCGAACGATGGGGTTATTTCCCCTTCATCGGTGCAGGTAACCACTGCGGTCAAAACCCAGGAAACGCTCAAAATAAAAAGTGGGTCATCGGGTAAGAAGGACATGGATAAATATCCCGCCCACTGGTACACGACTGTCCTACCGGCAGCTGACGTCATCGTCAACCCGTTCGTGGGACGTCAGTCGCGTGGTACAACCGACCGGTTCGGGCGATCCCGCACTTCACTGGGAAATTCCAAAAACACGAGGGCTTCAAACTCGGGGCACTCCAGAAAGTCTGCAGTGACGAGGGAGCCTAGCCCCGCGCCCTCACCCCAAGGGCGGTCGCCAAAGGGCCATCGACCGCACACGACAAAGACGCGGCGTCAGCTGATGGAGATAGCCAATCAGGAGAGCTTGGACGCCATGGAGGATAACGCCAACAGCGTCATAGAGCGTCGGCGCCACGCGAGCAGGCAGGAGGGGATCCTACTGGATCTGAAGGTCAAGGACTTCATTCGCGATCTGGGCGAGTTTCAGAGATCGAAGTCGAAAGGGTTGCTTGACAATCTAAGCTGAAATGTGTTTCCTGCGTCACAATCATGTGCCACGAACTCACTATCATATGTCACAGAGTCAAACTTTCAAAATAAGATGTTTCCCGAACATGTGGTTGGTGAATCACAAGTGTCTTAATCTTTTATTTCCCAATCACTATGGCATTGTCTTTAAAAAAAAAGTTATCTGAAAGGTAACAACAGAGCTTTACGCAGATTGGTACTAACTAATTAAATGCATTGTATTAACAATGTTGGTATTAAAATGCCCTTATTATTTGTACTGTATCATCATTTGAAATGAGATGTGCGTTCAGTTCATTTTGGAAGTGGAGATGTAGAAGGAGGAAAATTAGATCAAACAAGTCATTTTTCATTGTGGCTTTGTGTTGACCAAAGGGGGAGTCTAAAATCAAACAAGTCATTTTTCATTGTGGCCTTGTGTTGATCAAAGGTGAAATCTAAAATCAAGCAAGACATTTTTCATTGTGGCCTTGTGTTGACCAAAGGGGGAGTCTAAAATAAAAAAGTCATTTTTTATCGTGGCTTTGTGATGACCAAAGTGGGAATCTAAAATCAAACAAGTCGTTTGTAATTGTGGCTTTGTGTTGACCAAAGTGGGAATCTAAAATCAAACAAGTCATTTTTCATTGTGGGCTTGTGTTGAACAAAGGTGGAATCTAAAATCAAACAAGTCATTTTCATTGTGGCTTTGTGTTGACCACAGGAGGGAAAAAGCAAAAAAAGCTTCACTTTTAAGATATGATTTATAATCTTTTGACAAATTAAAATAAATTCCAGAGTCACCGCTGCATTATTACTGATGAAAAAAACCCCACCTACATAACATTACAGTCCTCATGCAGTGCAAAGAAACAATAGAATTAACCCGCTCTACTCCTTTTTTTTCTGAATCGCTTAAAGAGGACACACATTTAATTTATAAAGAGCACTTTATTTGTCAGCAAATGACACATGACATAGTAACTGACACGTGACACATGATATAGTAACTGTCACATTAAAACAAACATTGTTACAAAATAAAGTTTTGAGTAGGGCGAAGTAGTAACATGATAATAAAATTAAATGAAGATTTCAAGTAGAACAAAAAAATTTTCAAAAATGATACCTTTACCTTAGAGCAGACTTATAAATGTTCTTTTCATAGAGTATTTAAAGCATTAAAAATATGCAAATGAAATTAAATTTCAATCTTTCCTATATATATATATATATATATATATATATATATATATATATATATATATATATATATATATATATATATATATATATATATATATACATACACATATAAATATATATGTATAATTATATATATAACTATATTATATATATATATGCAGTTATTGTAAATAATTTAATTTTTAAATCAATTTGAAATTCTTTTTTTGAAGTTAATATCTTAGTAAAATAAGAGCTGTTAAACTTTACAAATATATTTTTTCTATAAGCAAATATCTCCATCATTCAAATTTTACCCCGCCCCGCTTTCCTTAAAATAAAAAAATTTAGTTAGTCTTGTCATTCTCATTGGTGACCTCATTATTCATTTGATGCTATAACTTATGTCTGTATTAATGATGTTTCAGGTTATTTCAAATAAGTGTTAATGATTTTAAACATTCTGTTTTGAGATTCACGAACTAGGAGATATGACAGAAGTCTTAACCTTAACTTGCTTGTGGGATTATGTAGCGTGTGTTATAATAAATGCATAACAAAATTGATTTTAAAAAAAATTGGTTGTACCTAAGATTGCCTCATTCACCTGCTTTAAATGACATCACAGTTGTTTAACTTAGATTGTCCTGACGCCAACTCTACCAATATAAGAAATCACGGGTCATCATTGAAAGCAAATTTAAAAAACATAACTCCAAAATCTTAGCTCAAAGATTATTGCCATAATAGACAGTGAATAGAAAATGCTCTTAACAAAACATATAACAATACAAGTACTGTCTTTTCTTGGTAGCTGCTACTCAGCGCAGGCCTATTTTTATTCCTCTGAAATTAAATTTACTTTAATCTTTTTTAATGCAGTCTTTTATAAAAAATATGCTTAATTTTCTTATTTAACAAAATCAATTATATGCTAAATTAAAAAAAAACAAAAAACAAACAAACCCATAACAGAATTATATTAAAGTAACAGCAGCAAATTTATAGGAACAAGATGCCTAAAAGTTATCACCTCTGCATTTTGTAACATTTGACACTGAAAATTATTTGTATCAGGAAAATTAACCCTGTAAAATTCAAATATAAACATGACTATAAATAAGAAATACAATAAACAATATATACATTAGGGACAAACTCAAGGAACAATAAAACAATGCTTAAAAAAAAATATTTGGATTTAAAAATTATATTTGGACCAATTTGAACACTTGATAATGATATACAAAAACAGTAGGCCAATATAAATATATAAAATAATATAGGTCACATTCTCCATGTAATAAAACCAGCACAAAAGTCAAGGACACACAATAAAGAGATATATAGCTTCATAAATGAATTCATCAGTGTGGAAAAAAACAACACATTTTACAATAGCAATGGTTATTTTTTTTTTTTTGGTTAAGAATTGGGTCTATATCTTTAACAACAGGCCTCCTTTAATTTGTTCTTATCACAGCTATACACCAGAAAATCAAATACCAGGCAAAACAACAAGGTAAAAAGGTGTGATGATAAGAGTGAAGATAACATGATTTAAGGAGTATGTACATTTACACAAAAAAAAATGTTGAGTGTTTAATTTTAATTCTTTACCAGATGATGATTTAACCAACAGACTAGACAATAGCAATACCTCTTTCATCTATAAAAACAGAAATACAGATTTTTGTATAGAAAGTAAAAAATTAATGAATTCTTTAAATTGGTTCCTTTATAAATAATTACAAATGTCCAAAATATTTCTGGAGATTTTACTTTAATTAAAATACAGTTTCATTAATTAAAATTAAAAAAAATAATAAAATAATGACATCTTCTGTTATGGTTGGAATGATAGCTTTTAAATGTGAAGATATTTCTTTCCCTTTTCTGTAAAGTTGACAAACATCAGCCTAGAATTATTTATGGACATCAGCAAAATGAGTATAAATTAATTATTATAGAAAAATGGTTGACTTAAAGCTTTTGTATTTCTAAGAACCAGTGGACAAGCTTTGTGTTGTAAGAATAGTTGAAAGAAGAAAATCATAATATAATTTTTTTTAATGTAAAAAATATTTTTAAAAAACAACTTAATCTTCCCTTTTTATCTTTAACCTTGAAGCAGGTCTAGCTATATGAGATTTTTTTTGAAGAACCTTCTAGAAACAAATATTAATTCACAAATATTTAGCATATTGATATAATTTCAACTTTGAGATTTTTATGGTGGAACCTTTAGACTTAACGCAAAACTAATTACTAGTAAGTAAAAACAATATATTAAATTCTCAAAGTCTGCATGCCCAATTTCTGCATTAAATGAAGTTCTCAACATAGAAAAGAAAAAGTGAGATAAGTATAATTATAATCCATCAACAACTTACATTATATTGCCTCTCAAGAAAAAAAATGTAATAAATAAAATTATCAAAAAATCCTAATTAGTGAAAGGAATGTCAATAGACAAACAACAGGAATCAAAAGGTAAATATTGTGTGGTTTATGATTAAGCACAAATCCATTATTGAATGGTCCATGCATTAAAACAGCAATCAATATTATACATGTTTTTCAGCCATCATGAAAACAAAACTGTTAGCGGGGGCGGGAAGATTAGTGAAAATAGGAAATCAGATTCATTGTAGTTGGACACGTTTCAAGTTGTAAAGCTTATTCTCATACAGTTGAAACGATGATTTATTTAGAAGTGGGCAAGGTGGTATTTGGAAAATCTTATCAAACACAAACTTCTGTTAAGCTAATGCCCTTGCAATCAGAAACCAGAAAAAAGGAAGAGCTATATAAACCATGAGAACAATGACCAGTGGCTAAATTATTCAGAGCTATAACACTGGTGAGAGGCAACTATCCATTCTATCCATTCCCAATAGACTTTTAAGTGCAGACCTATTAATTTTATTGTGCGCAAAGAGGGGAATCTTGTTGGATTTCCCATGTATGGGAGCTGAAAGCATTTCAAGCATCAACACTACTATTTTTTATAACATCACATCAGTAATACAAATATAAATTTACAAAAAGGGCATTTGTTAGAATTAACAAAATAATGCTGTACTCAAGAGATTTATGCTAGAACCAACATTGTCTGCTGACAAGGTGATTGTTCTCTCCATTTCAGGATTGCTCTCTCCCTTTAATTATTTTAGTACCAAGTCATACAATGAGTAAACACATTTTTGTAAACATGAATATCTGTTTCAATGCAGTGGAATCCATTTAATTGTTTAATTAATTGTTTAAAAATTGAAATAGTTCTTACCTTTGAAAAAGAGGGAAGTTCATGCCTTCAGTATGTTGGAGCTAATGTTACAAAACAAAGAGAAGCATTTCATCAAATGCAAATGAAAACACGCACACAATTTGTGGTGGTCTGAGCCAGGTTATTCAGATGAATTAGTTAAGCTGGTGATATCATCCCAAACTTGTCTGATTTTATAAATATGCTTCCATTTCATCCACTAAATATAAATTTTAGGAAATTAAAAAATATGTTATTAAATTGAACAATTAGAATGAATAAATTAGAAGGAGTGGCCATTGCCTGAAAATATGGAGTGATGATCAGGGACGTCAATCTCCCTGAGTGATCCAAGCCAACCCCACTCCCCCTTTGGTCTTGGTCAGTATTATGGGTCATGGTATTGGAATTTGATTGAAGAGTTTACTATGAATATTAGTAATACAAAAATTTAAAGTTTACAAAATTGTTAGAACTTTGTTGATCATTCGATAATGGTAGGCCTATTCATTACAAACTATTAAATTCCCCTAATAGACAAAGTTCTTCACATTTTCAGCAAATAGAATAATCAAATCCAGTGGATGTTAATTGAAATCAAATAATCAAATCCAGTGGATGTTAATTGAAATCAAATAATCAAATCCAGTGGATGCTACTTGAAATCAATAATCAAATCCAGTGGATGTTAATTGAAATAAAATAATCAAATCCAGTGGATGTTTATTGAAATCAAATAATCAAATCCGATGGATGTTAATTGAAATCAAATTATCAAATCCAATGGATGTTAATTAAAATCAAAAAATCAAATCCAGTGGGTGTTAAATAAAAATTAAGTTCAAGCTAATAACTATTCTTAAAATTAAAAATTTGGGTAGGTGGTTGAAATGGCCGTCTGGTAAAAAAAAATATATATCAATTTTAAAATAGAATTACAACATAAACCAAGTAACCAAAATTAACAGACGCTTCTGATAATGATTAGAAAAATTCAAACATTTCCTTGATCCAAGCTGTATTAACTGAAAGGGCTGTGTCAATGAAAGGGCTGTGTCAATGAAAGAGCTGTGTCAATGAAAGGGCTGTGTCAATGAAAGGTGTTGTGTCAATGAAAGGGCTGTGTCAATGAAAGGGCTGTGTCAATGTTATCCACTAGAAATTATCCAGGTAATGCCATCAGACAATTGTGGCCAAGTTTTCATGACTTTTAAAGCAAGCGCCTAAATCTGAATGGAAATTATTTTTTGGTCATTCTAGAAACAGAACATCATGAATTAGGGTTAGTAGGGGAGAGGGTCTTGAAAGTGTGTTGGAGGCATGACATTGGGCTTTTATATTATGACTTATTGGGCTCGAGGTGGTGCAGGATGGTTTGTGAAAGGTCAGATACAATTTGAGGTTTTCATTTGTAACAGTTTAACCTGTACTGGCACCTAGCTTTGGAAAAAATTAAATATTACCTCTAGGCTATATTTGAACACAGTTGTGTAAATTTAAAAAAAATTACAAGGTGTGTAAATTAATTAAGTCTATAACAAATGTAATATGTTTAGTTTGTCTTTGAAAAAAATTATATTTAATTAGACTGTAAAACTTTCTGTAAAAACTCAGCAAAATTAACTGCATTTCACTGCACTGTAAACAAGACCCATCTCTAGAAGTAAATTGCATTCTACTGGCCACAAACTTTGTGCTATTTGCGTAAGATGTGC